CACACACACACACACACACACACACACACACACACACACACACACACACACACACTCTCTCTCTCTCAACCTAGTTTCATCTCACATACCTTTTTCTTTATTCTCTCTTGTCCTGGTCTCCCATGTGTTTCATCTCCCTGACAAGTTTGAAGAGAGAGTTTTGAAAAAGATCCGGCGGAAAATCCGCAACAAGCGCTCAGCTCAGGAAAGTCGGAAGAAGAAAAGGGAATATGTCGATAGCCTGGAAGAAAGGTATGACATTATCTCTGCACCGACTTAGGAAACATTCTTTTAATCATCTGCTTTGGATTTTTTATGTTTTTCAGTGATTCAGTGAGTGTTTTGTTGTTCATTAAGTAAAGCACACTTCATGTTTCCTGGTATTTGTCAAATAGTTCCCTGAAAAAAAAAACCTCACAGGAAGCTCAAAAAAACAATTGTATAACAACCTCAAACAACACTAGTGAGGTGTTTTGAATTAAAAAGAAGAAGAAGGAGAGCTGTGCAGCAGTAGTTGTCATTGCCTCCAGCAAAACCAATTAATTACAGAAACTTATTCAAGAGAAAAATTATATAGTGCCAAAATTGATAAAAGAAATACAACCCATTAAAATTCAGTTCCAGTGAAGCAGCCTAAAATGAAAGACATAAACCTTGTTATTTTTTTTATTTATTCACTAATAAAGATCTGGATACACAAAGAAATACCATTTTCAAGAGATTGCTGCAAAAGAGAATTTCTTTTTCATTGGAGGAATATTTAGATAAAAACAAAAAACAAACTTGCATTACTGTCTATAATGCCAACGGCACTTCAGTAAGAACAAACACACGAAAAGATGATGTTTTAATAATGCAGAGAATAATATATATTCATACTCCTGCTGTGGAAAAAAAAGAAAGTGAGCCTTCTCTCAGTTCAAAGGTTATATATCAGGGTATAATAAAAAAATATGATCTAGTCTTTACGTGGTCTTAAATTTAGGTAAATTTAATCTGAGAAGGACAACAACATTCTCACATTAAACTGTGTTGTGACAAAAAACTAAACCAAGATCCAGAAACAGTCCTGTGAGAAACTAAGCACACCCAGTGATTCAGTAGCTTGTAGAAATACCTTTAGCAGCAATACCATCAAGTAACTGTTTCCTGTATGACTTCATTAGTCTCTGCCATCATTGTGAAGGAACTTTACCCCACTCTTCTTTACAGTGTTGCTTCTTAAATTCATCCACAGATCTTTTAAGGTCTCACCACAACATTTCAACAGGTCAAGGTCTGGACTTTGACTGGACCATTGCAGCACCTTGATTCTTTTCCTCCCTTCTTTTTGGGATTATAGTCCTGTTGTTGGACCCCGTTTTGCCCAAGCTTTAGCTGTCAGATAGATGGCTTCACATTTGACTCAAGAATACTTTGGGATACAGAGAAGTTCATGGTTACCTCAATGGCTGTAAAACAAGCCCAAATCATCACCCCCACCACCGTGCTTGACAGTTGGTGGGGGTTGTTTGTGCCGATACGCTGTGTTTGGCTTTCTCCAAACTTGGCACCGTCCATTATGACCAAAACACCTCAATTTTTGTCTAATCCTTCTAAAGGACATTGTTCCAGAAGTTTTGTAGGGTTTTTTTTTTTTAGATGAAACCCTTCTAAACAAGCCACACTTGTTCAGCCTTTTTCTAATTGTACTGTCATGAGTTTTAACATTTAACATGCTCACTGAAGGCTGTAGAGTCTGAAATGTAGCGCTTAGATTTTTTTAAAAGTTTTTGTAAGGATTGGATGGTCTGACTGAGGTGAATTTTCTGGGATGTCCATTCCTGGGGAGATTGGCATCTGTTGCTTTCCACTTGTGAATAATCTTTTTCACTGTAGAATGAAAACATTTTCTGAGTGGCCTGATAACCCCAATTGCTTTTCTAAGATCGTTGCTGATGTCTTTCCTGCTTGGATTTGTGATAACGCGTACCTGAATGCTCCAGACCTGCAAACTAGCAAAACGTCTTGACGACCTGTTAATCAAGTGCATTTCATTAGCAGCGGCTAATTTTTAATGCTCTTTGCACTTTGACTTAGTTTTTATTGACATAGTATAATATGTCACGGTTTGCAGTTCATCTGAGGTTGTATATACTCATTTTAAGACCTCTTAGAGATCTTAATATTGTTTATGAGAAAAAAAAATCGGTGTTCAGTATAGTCAAAGACCTGAAAGTTTCTACATTCATTAAACATTGTAAAGAAACTCAGAATACCCACCATACTGTGATAACTGCTCCACTGTGGGGCACCAAAACACTTACGGTCGATCTGGACCACTTTCTCATTGTGCATACACGCAAATTCACAGATGTAGTCAGGAGAGAGAATGGATTATTCCTAAACATGATGCCACAACCCAGAACAGCAAGCAGGTTTTTGCGTCAGTCTTCCTCCTTCTTCTCTACCTCGAGGCTGCTCGGAATCAGCCTCACCACACAGCCAGCAAGTCTTTGTCACCAAATTTATTAATCCCACCTTCCTCCCACATGCTGGCGCTTCAACCACATCACACCTCCACAAACAGCGCTGCGTGGTCGAGCATGTAATTTGACTCGCCTCAAAGAAACGCGATGCAGCAATATTCCCCAAATTCCTTTGTTTGTCAAATCCCCCTATGTTTATCATTCATCAGCTTCTCTTGGGGGTATTTTTAGAAATTGTTTCACTCTGATGTGGTTCTTAAGACTGACTCCCTTGCACTGCTGGACTCTTTTAAAACCTGCCATTACTGATCTGTGTCAGAATAAAAGAGTCGATTGAGAGTGAATGGAGGTGTTTTGGACCACGGGTGTAGCGGGTGGGATAAAGCCAATACACAGTTTGAGCTTTAAAAATGGCCAAACACAAATGTACTGTAAATATTTGAAATGTGAAAATTGTCTGTGTGTTTTGCGTACTAATGAAAATGTCTTACTGATGTAACACAGGAGGTTTATATATCTAATTACATGCTATCAACATCTCAATCAAGCTTGAGCTCTGCTGCCTCCTGATAACAAAAGTTTCATGGCAGAGTGAGATTGTCTCTCCCAGAGTCAGCATTCGTTGATAATTAAACCAGATTCAAGCGGAGCGTATCAACAGGGTGTCATTATCAGTCGAAGGCATAATGGACTCACAGTGACTGAACCAAACAAGAGAGACACCAGAAGAAGAAAGGGGGTGGAGTCCCTGGATGACAGAATGGGGTTTGCGATAACAGTCAGCAGGCTGATATTGGCAGAGAGAGAAATGGAGGGCAGGCGAGGCAACATCATAAAACGATATTTTTTTAATACGATTCTGCCCTCATTCTCCTCCTCCTCTTTCTGTAGGATGTCTGCATGTGGTGCTCACAACCTCGAGTTGCAGAGAAAGATCCAGCAGCTGGAGGAGACCAACAAGTGAGTCCTTAAGTGAGGCAACAAAAGTTTAACCTGATGATTATTGGCATTAGATGCCTGGACGACTCAGTGTTTTGTACAATGATGGAGAGCTTAAAGTCCAGAAAATACAGTAAAGAACATAACACACCTGATTAGCTTTACCTGTGACAACATCCAGGACTTGCTTTTGAAAGTTGCAATGAAAAGCAAAGAGTTACCATGACTACAGCCCAGTGCACTACACTTCAACATATGGTCTGGAAAGGTCCAAGTCTCTGAAGCTTTGGAAGCTATATCCTGGCTCAGGCACAGTCAGGGCACAGCTTCAGAGCTCTGGCATGATTGAATGGTCACTGTTAGATTTTAGAGAATGGCTATTTTAGCTCTGCAGCAATTGCTCCTGTAAAAATAGCACCACAGATGTCTCGGTTTTTCAATTTATTTCCCTGTTTCAGTTATTTAGCTACTGTGTTTTCATTGGGGGATTATGTCTGGTAGTATTTAGTATTTTGTTGATAGCCTAAACCACTTCATCTCAAGACTATGACACCACAAGGCCTGTTTCATGGAGCCTAAATCCAGAAATATAGGATGACAGAAAAAATTAAGATTGACCATATATAGTCAGAACATCCGGGTGTCGTACATTTAACAATGGCCAGGCTGAGGAGGTGCAGCCATATGAAAACACGGCATAATTGCAAACCCTCACGTTTGTTTCCCATCAAAGTCCCTACCGGTTGAACAGATAAGGCCGCAGGATTAATCAAACCTGGACGCGGGGCTTGTACAGAGCTAGCTGCACAAAATAAATCTCCACGACATCTTTTGTGACACCTCTTTCATGAAACCGAGTCACGGCTGAAAATGGCCAAACCGTTCTGCCTGTTAAAGATTCAGGACTGAAGAGCCTGAGAGTAAAATTACCAGCATACAAAGTGCATACCATTCCAAATCTTCACACAGCTTTTCCAACTTTTCTTTTCACTCGGCAATTTCACTGTCCTGATTTTTTTATTCTTTTTTCCCTGACGCTGGCAGACTGCTGCTTGTAAAAACAAAATGTGTGAAGGCTCCACACACACACACACTCTTCCTTCAATTTGTCCTTCTCTCTCTCTCTCTCTCCTTTTTGCGAGAGTGATCACAGATGCTGGAAATGATGAGACCCCTTATGTGAAACTTTTGCACAGCCTCTTTCATCTTTCTGTCTGGATTTGTGTTGCAGTGCTCTGCTGGAGCAGCTAAGCCGGCTACAGGCTCTCCTTCCTAATGGCCCCGGCAAAACAAGACAGAAAGCAACCTGCATCCTGGTGAGATAGAGCATTATGTAATTTTTGAGGCAGTCATAATTGTAACAAAGAAATACAGTAAACATTAAAAGTTCATAAGCACATCAAGGCGTGCGAGTGTTTGTACCGGCAGGACTGCGGCTGTGAATGCTTTGAATATTTAAATGAGTCAGAGAAGCACCGGTTGTGCAAAATGTTATGTAGTTGTGTGCGTAATAACCTACTCAGTTTCTTCTTTCTGATCTGTGTTTTCTATGCTTGACCTCTTTTTGTCCATCTGTCTGTATTTACATCCAGGTCTTGCTCCTCTCCTTCTCTCTGCTGATTTCTTCAAATCTTCGACCAGACCCTTACAGCCAGCTCAGTCAGGCAGACTATGCAGAGACCAAAGGTCCGTGGCCATCATGCATGGCCAATCTTGCTTTCTTTTTTTCTTTTTCGTCCATGCACACTCACTCATGCACACACACTCACTCTTCTCAACCGCATCTCTGTCTCTCAGTGCCGTCCCGCTCCCTGCAGTCGATGGATGATGCCCGAGACATCCCTCCTCCTCCACCTCCTTCTCTTCCTCTTCCTCTCCTCTGCGTTACCAGGGGCTTTGAAGCCCTGCGCAATCTGACAGAGAAGATTAGGCCCTGGACAGATCTCCCCAAAGCAGACGTCCCCTTCTCTCGCCATCAAGATCACAGGCACAAGGACCTTCACTGATTTATTCTAACAAGAAAGACGTGGCGCCGGGGTGCGAGTTTGGATGCGCGTGCAGCCCCCAACAGGGTAGTTTAAAAGCTTCTCTGCATCTGCTTTTCACTACAGAGGCTGGGTGAGAGGCTGCTCCAGCACATAAACATCCATTTGAAAGGTGTTTCAGGAATGCACTTTTGCAAAGGCCAGTAAAGAGGTCATTGACGTGGATGTAATCATTTTTCATTTTGCTCTGAATAAAAAGCCTTTAAGCACCTGCTGGATCATGTATGCTGGATCATACCTGTGCAGCTGATGCCTGTTAAATACAAACACATTAAATACACATGCACGCTCACTGCTGTGATTTATTATTTTCTTTGA